TAATCAGGTTACAAAAAAATCCAGCTGGTAGAGGGGAAATCCACAAGGCTTGAACCTGTGTATCGTCTGATTCCAGTGCCAATCTAACCTAAGTTTGCACAGCTTTCTTTGAATACATAGAAACATGCCAGGCGCTGTAGCAACGGAGCTTACTTCGTTCCTGCAGGGAAGTGTTGAAGGGTTCATTTGAGCGGTGGTGCTAAAAACTAGATAATGTTTTAATCTGCACGCACATAACTGATTGGTGAAATACCTGTGCTGGGGCAAAGTGGTGGAGGGAGGACCATGTTTTCAAACCAGGTCCTACATCAGTGGCTTCATGAAAAAACGCCGCTAGCTGTCAAGTAACGTCTTTTTGTGCATTTGCAAGTTGTTTTTTTAAGGCCCTAAAGCAATATGTATTTGATGGTGAATAAGTTGTTAGTCTTTGCAGTTCAACCACCCAAACACTCTTATTCATTGGCGCGCCTTGTCCTTGTGTTGAGCCAGTAGCATTTGTAGTGTACTGCTGATTTATATATTAAGTCATTCCTACGCGTTGGCTTTACGGTTACTACTTCCTTTGTTTGAAACTAAATGGCGCATCACTGATCTCTCACCCGAGCTGGCGCATCGCAAATGTGTGAGGCAATTGTTTAAAAAGAAATAAATTAGGTCAAATAGGAGGAAATCCATCAACGGTCATTCATGTCGTAACAGTAGAACATCAGGGCTGATGGCTGATTTTCCCTTGGTAACACATTCATTTGATGCCTAACTTCGGCCCATAGGATGGAAGTAAAGCTCTTTGTTTTGAAGGCAGTTACAGCTACTCTCAACCATGAGGTACGATAATCGGTCTCTCTACAGCAAACTTTTGATAATATTGGGCATTGGATTATTGGCCTACTTCTGTTGTCTTCGACTTCGTCGCAGGCAGTCATCGTGGCTAGTAGACGAGGTACACCGCGTTTTGTCCTCAACCCCACTACAGCTGAATTTTGTTACCCTGGAGGCTAAGTGGCTGCCTTGCATTCAATTACTCACCACCCGTTTCAAAATCTGATCCATGCCCAGTGAGTCCTTTCCATATACGTCTCTGTTTTTACATTCTCTTTGAGTGGCGACTCAAGCATTCATCGAGGTTGGGTCGTTATATGTTTAACGTACCAAAATAAGCGCACTATGATATAAGGAAGTGAGAAACATAATATAGTGAATTTCATCATTGCATACATGAAGACAATATTCCGCAGAATGCAGAATCAGTGCTAAATCCCGACCCGCTGATGACAGGTTTACCCGAAGGCGTTTCCTTCTGTTTGATCACCACTTAATTATATAATACAACCCATAAGAAGATCATCGGAGACGGTGCTCAAAAGGACGAGGGACGATATAATACGTGTTTTCTTGAACGCACCTCTTACGTTGGCAAAGGTTCAGTGAGCAGTGGGTCTCGTGATGGAACAGTTGCCATCCATCGTTGAGGTGGAAGAGGCGTGTTCTGAGTAGGGGCTTCCCTGATCTTCCTTCCCTGGTCAAAAAGCCTCTACTTAGTCATTTAACACCATCAAAGGAAATGAAGACTAAGGGGGAGGAGATAAATGCAGCTGATTTATTATAAGCTACCGAGTGCTTTACCGCTTGAGCGAGGGTTCCTTGCGCTTCACCGGAGTACTCGTGAGACATTTTATGGGAGCACAAATTGTTCCGTTATTTTGACAAGAATATTTTCGAGTGAGATCGTCTTAGCTTTACACTAAATTTAAAACAATTAGTTTAATCAGAGGCATTGAGTAGAGGGAAGCTAATTAGGCAATCGGGCATCTGTTCATATAGTTGGCTGTTTGATAAGAATGCTGGCGATTGTCTGACAACAGCCAGCTAACGATGTGGTGCAAAGTACCATTATGTGATGGTATCAACAAGTGAGGTGAGAGTTAATAAAAGTGCTCAGTTCTACGCTGTTCGGCAACTAACAGTTCGAAACAGAGTTTCAATCAAGTGCTGCACGTTGGAGACCGCCATCCAACTAGACGCATTAGTCAAATGCTTATCGCACTTCTCCATTGCCATTAAAGAGAGTATGCCACATAAAGTTTAACACTTCTTTCTTCATATTGTATTTTAATCTTGCACGAGGTGACAAAATGACCGTGCTGTTTGAATTCGCCAAATGCTGAGAGTCAGCGTCTACTACCACTTAGTGAGTAGTCGTCCCAAGTTATGCACCAAGTCTTGATCTCAACGCAAAAAAAAATTGAAGCATGGGCACGGATGAATCGTATGTCTTGGATGATTGCTGCATTTTCACGACAATCAACCACACTGTGTGGTGAGATAATACAGCAGAGTATTATGCCATTTTGTAGAGTAAACACGATTGCGCGCAAAACTCCTCAGTGAATGTAAGGAATCGACGGTAACTTGTAGTAATAGTAAAATTTAGTTGCTTTTATTTTATGTAAAATATCTCAAGTTAAAATCAAATTTACGCTGGTTTTCTTGGGGCTACATTAACCGCGTCTTTATGGTTTCAGCGTAGATACCTTTTACATGCCTGGATCCGAATAAATTCTATTCCTAGCATTGAATAATATGAGCTGCAAATATCTAGCAGTGTTTTTTAAGGACAGTGGAATTGCTGGAATGTTTCAAAAACAAATCAGGTGTTAACTTGACGTCTACGAACTCGGTAGGAAGGAACTTGCCAAGGGTGACGAAAACGTCATTTTCTCACCTCTTTACCAGAACTGAACGAAATATTTTCTTTTCGTTTAATCTAAAGGCTCGGATTCGCAAGTGATCAGTGATTATTGATGATGAAATAAAGTCATCATTATTTCCTTCCTTCCATAGGTAAGCTCTATAGCTACCAGAAGAAATGTTTCGGTGCTGTTATAATAACTTCCATAACTTACCCAGGAATTAAAGTAATCCCTCAGCCTAAATGCGAAGCATGCGGAATTCAAAGAACATTCACATGGACAAAACTGTATAAAATAGCCCTCTACGGTTACCATATTTAATGGAGCGAATCGAGTATCAAATCGACTCAACATCTGGCCTAGCACATTCAAGCAACTAAGTTGACACCTCGTAATGGCAAATAATCCTGCGCCAGATGTAGACAGTTTGACGCACCCGTGGGTATCTCAACTGTACGAGACACTTCGCTGTGTGGCCTGACAACGTTAGAGAAACTCAGGTCGGATATGCCACTATAAGCAAATGTTCTAATTTTGAGCCCTACACAAGTGTTTCAATTCATCCTAAATGAAGATGGCATGGCTAGCAACATTTTTTTAAAATCATCACTACCTTTGGAAGCAGTTTGACTTTGTTTTGGCAACTCCGGCTTAGACCTACGAGGCACAAAACACTAACCTATTTACAAGAGATCTTCAAAGTATTTTCCGTTTCCATACTGTTAATGATAAAACTATTCAAGCAATCTTGTGGCAAATCTATTTTACCTGAATCACACCCGTCACCTCCAGGGAGGGGGACGGCTTAGTCCAGTGTTTTGTACAAACATATTCTACGGCGGACTTTTCTGCTGCAGCGACGTCTATCGTCGATGCACCTATTGCATACCAGCCCCTTAGTTTAATTACTTTTATGCTCATCTTATGTGTTCATTGGAATTTCAGCCAAGCTCATGAACATACGGCCTGACTAGCTTAACTTTAATATTTATGAAACCACGTAGTCAATTGTGACCATTTCTATACAAGAGCGTTGTAACTAAGGGGCGGAGACAGGACAAAAATGGGTATTAGCCGGTACCTGTGAGATTGATCATAGCTATTTCTGCTGTTGACTGACTTTTCGATGCATCTTGGCATGGAGGCAGAGTGGAGCATACGGCATATGCAACTCTAATAGCATATAGTACCGTCAGGCATGCCAAAGAGGAGGGCTGATCCCCCTCTCACCTCCTTACAGTGATTGAAGTGCACCCACACGTGATGTCAACCAGGAAGATGTTAAAAGTAGAGCAGGCCAACTAGTCACGAAATTCCAGAATTCTAGAAAATACAACAGGGAGGTTTATTGTATAGAGGCTTCTTTGTGGTCTACCTAACTTTGGCTTAAGTCTCAAGGTCCAGCACTAGAGCCATATAAATATTTTTCAACATACTTTTTCGGGAATGTTAATATTTTTCAGACCAAAGGTTGGCCTTATTTATTTTGAATTTACAATGTGACACAAAAAGTGTCAAAAGTGCAACTTTGGGGCATGCATACGAAAGTAAAAATACATCAAAATTAACAATAGAAAAGTGACTCAAAAATAATTAACCTGTGATATCTTTTCGCGTCTTTAATCGCTTCACTCCAATTTATTACCATGACGCACATATGGCATTCCCAACACCGCGCATGCAAAATTGTTTCGACTTTGCCTGACAGTATCATACACCTGCATTTACATGGTGTTTTATCAGCACACAAGTAAAAATATTACTTGCAATTTGACAAAGTGTCATTTTTTTGCATTTTGGAATGGATTGATGTCAGCTTTGTCATTTGTCGAGTATATTGAAATTTAATCAATTTATTTAGATATTTTGGTGTTGAACTTTTTGCCTTCAACAATTATTAAGTAAAATGGTCCCAAGCCATCACTGGTTATTGTTATTAGGCTTTGCAAGCACTGCAAAGTCCTTATGGAAGTGTTCTAACAAATAATTTGCCAGTTTGACAGTGTCAATAACACCTTTCCGTCACCCTGGAAATTTTTTGTCAGTTCTCAGAAACTCATTTGCTTTTAATGTCTTTACTTAGGCTCTATTTAATAAGACCAATCTAAAAATCCCTATTTCGTGCCACATTTGGCTTTTTATTGGCATTAATTGCCCGATAATTTAATCCACAATGCAAAAGTTCTTGTTGATGTCAAAGCGGAAATCTTATGCATGAGCATTGCAAAAGAGCTTCGACAAACGAATCAAAACCACATGCTTGCCTTTTTATTCTTATCTTTGCATAATATAAGAGATGTTTACTACCGGTCAAGTACAAACCCAACCGTTGTCTCAGGCCCATTCATCGAGGTGTGATTATGGAACACTGCGGTGTGGAACTTGCGACAGTAGAATTCGGTTAGCAGGGCGGACAAGCCCGAAATATAGTCAATGAATATCTTAAGTGCCCTGTCTTAATATCAGAGCCTCAAGGTATGAGGGGAACGCAGAGGAGAGTAAGAGTGGCTGGCGCACATTCAAGGAACACTGGGATCTACTCTACAAATTCCCACCAGTAAACTGGATAACCACACTCATCTATAAATCCTTACGATTGGAGGTAACTACAGTCCTTATTGGTGGTATAGATCCAGGGGAATAATGGGCACCAAAATATATGCACTCGAGAATTTGCATGCTCAACATCTTTAAACAAGACGGAATGCACTACAACTAATTGCGAAGACAGTAATGAATATGATAAATATATTACTAGTGTCATTTACTACATCAACACATAAAAAGGAAATCACGTTCAAGCACGTCGCAATCTCCGGAAGGTGAATTGCAAGTTGCCTCAAACAAGGTAGCTCTGCTGGGTTTGACCTGTGTCGTATGCCACGCACCCACTGCACAGAGAGTCGCTATTTACCTCCACCGTCTGCCCAATAAGGTAGGCATCAGCAGTCCCTGGCTCCTTGAAGTACGATGCTACGTTCGGTGCAGATGTGCCAACACTTTTGAAAATAATAGGAAAGTAATTCAACAGTCACTGGATCCATTCACACACAGCCACAACATATCACGGCAATAATTCATCCTGCAAAAGGGTTGGTTTTGCGGCAATATCTACAAGACACTTGCAGCAATGAGCTAATATTACAGACAAATAGTTTCTTATGTTAAGGGAATTTAACAGGGACAAGGCTGCAAAAAGTAGCTCCCATCTTCACTTTTGCTTAACCTACCCGGACTTTGCCTTGAGGATTTTCAAGGGAACTGCCTTACATGTGCCTCTCGGTTGTAACACTGAAGAAATGGAATAGAAAACTTCCAGTTTTATATTCTGTTTAGCAGTCAAACGCCATTGCCTTGAAGGTATAGAGGAATCCATGTCCAGCTAAATACATCACGACTCTGAATTAAAAATAAAGCACTGCTGTAAGGAAGCAATGCGGAATTTAGACTAAACGGCTGAAGGAAACATCTCAGAATACGTACTTTACTGCCGCATACGTGAAGGAAGCACTGCCTTACGCATCCACCGAGGAGAGAGTTCAGGTAAAATGACGACACATTAAAAATAGTGGGGTGAAAGACAAGCTCCGCTATTCCCACCTTTCTCCATGAAGAAGCATTTGACGCCATGGGTTCCAAAAGTAGAATTAAATGGTGAGCTGCCTCACATATGCGCTGAAGAAAACCAGAATAATTTTTGAGGGAATAAATTCCAGTATCGAGGGAATGGTAAACAGAAGGCCGAAATTAACTGGTTCCACCTCCCGCTCAGCATTTGTTGACAAGGTTATTAGCAACACCACCGGCCCTAAGGAAACAATGACTCAAAAAAGCAACCATTGAGGCACTAGTGGGGTGTAAAATGAAACACAGTACTTCCCGCTTTCTCTCCATATCAGCCTTTACCACCATGATGTCCAGAAGGGTAGACTTAATTACGCATTGATACACTGAAAATGCATCCCATCTTTACATACTAATATGTATATGCGCGCAAAGTCAACAAGCCAATAATTGCCATGATCCGAGCTGGTGGAACGCACCCCTACGTGTTGATCGTATTGCCGAGGCCAAGGGAAGGTGCCAAATTCTCCAAAACTCGTGATAATCCAGCAGTTGCCACACAACTACGACTAAATTACGAGCGAAAAAACACGTTGTACCTCTGTCCATGGAGCCGTGACCCCGGGCAGGCAACGAGGGCCCTGGAACCCACAATTACCTAGTAGTTGCCGAGCTACTGCGAATAAGATAGGTGCACAGATCATGCCATGACATCGTGAGTGCCTCCAAGGCACACTCGCCATTCAAATATCAGGGTCGCGATGATAAATACCTCATGGGATCAACGCTAAGAGCAAATGTTCCTCAAGGGAAGACAGAAAACACTGGGAGTCTACACTCTACAACCAGCTGCGCAAAAGAACCACTATGATGCAAAAATAATGCAGAACAGTGCCAGACAAGGAGCAATCCAATGACAACAAACACTAGTGGAGTGCAGAGTATGCCATGTATGCATAAAGCAAGGTGTGGTGATTAATAAAATTTCTTATCACAAATGACCGAGAACCCGAATCCACCAATTTGACGAAGTAAATCGCACCAACGACTAATTACAGATAAATCTGCCACTTTACTGTACATTGAAAGAACACGAAGGCATTTACAAAACAGGTCAACTGTTGTTAAAGTAGAAGCAGCAATAATGTAGTCAACTGAAAGGATAATACGCCAAACTTTCCAATTAAAATAACTGCAACGCATGGAATGGAGTTGTGACAGTGAATGCCCTAGTTTGACAGAAAAATGAAGTATGAAAACCTAGGGTAGCTTAAAAGAGCAAGCACGTGCAGAAAACCACCGCATCACAAGCTTCAGGTAAGAAGTCTTGATGCCTCGTCAATCACTCAGTTTCAGTAAAATCCATCCCTATTGAGGGGTTTGACTACTTCTTAACGGATATAGATCGCATTCTTCAATTACAAAGGGATCATTGAGCTGCGGAGGAAAGGGACTGCATAAAACCACGAATGCTTTGAATCCGAAAACCGTACAAACAGTTTAACACTGGTTAATAACAGTCTAATGTCCCACCTAATCACCACGGTTTCGAGACTTAGACCATACGCTGCTCCTGGATTGAGTACCAGCTTTTTAGTAATTTAGTCAAGGTAGACATTTTCACCCCAACTCGAGGAATAAATTCACTCAAAAAGGAAATCCGTGCGTCTGTAATGAGGATTTACACGTTTAAGCACAATTTCCCTCGGTTGAAGACCACATTCTTTTATGGAAAATCCAATATCACAAACAGAACGCTACGCCTAAGAAAATGTCCTCAAAAGATATTTTAACAAAGCTTTCGAGTCAACATTTTTGCAATTCAACAAGCATTGCAGAGTTAATAAAAACTATTCCCTCGTTGAATATCTGACCTAATGTGAGCCGTCGGAAAGCAGGAAAGACAGCGGTGGGAAAGGCCTTCAAGTACGAAATGCCGAACGCGAGATTCATGAGATGATGCAAAATAACCTGTAAAGAATCAAAGCCCATTCAATTTTTACAGGGGCGCACTCACCACTTCCAAGTAAATGACTTCAAGACGATCTATTTTCGCATATTTTACGAGTCAGTGGTATTGAGGTCAAATAAAAGAATGACTCAGTGAACGGGACCTGAGTTCCAGTGAATCACAACCAAAGGAGACAAAAGACAATAGCATGAGGACATAATTTCTTTACATCGCAGAGCTGAAAGCTACAAATAAACAAGGGAGAGAGGGCTACTTTTGGGGACAGGAAGCGCCCACTCTAGGGGTGTTCAAAGTGAACTCATCTGCGATGGCATCAAGGTTAGAGGTCTGCAAGTGATGGTAAAAATGGACCAACATTACAGAATGTTGATGCAGGAGCGTCTTCTCTAGACACAAATCTCTCCGATAAACACATTCCGTAAAATTATGAGGTTTGCATCTTCCTACTCATTCATGTTTATTTGCACCAGTAATGATGGTATTCTTGATAAGCACATAACTTCTAGCGAAGATATCGTGCAGTATGGACTGCTTACTCCAACACAAAGTGGGGAATTCGCAGTAGAAGGGACCCTTAGAATCAACTTCTAATGTATTTCACACATTCCTAACACCTTCAGGCAGGTCAGGGTTGTGGGGCACAATAAACCACTTCCACTTTTCTCACTGCAAACAAAAAACCCCACTTCAACACTGCTCACAGCAGTAATAAAATGAAACGGCACTCACTGCGTGGAAGCATCAGACTGACAGCCATTGGTGAATCAAGTATTCCATGCGGCGCCGAGGGTGAGGCCACACCCCGCATATCGCTTTACTAAACAGAAAAAGGTAAATGAAGAATTATATGCAGCGGCCACACTTGAGAATGAACAAAGTAAAGTGAGCAACATGACCCCTGCTGGGGCCTTGTTCTTTCCTACCCTACCACAACCGCAACTCCGCACCTATCCGCCTCAATCCCGTTCCCGCCATTCAAAACCCCTCCTACTCACGGTAGTCACTCCCTAGTTTTTACATTTCTATCATTTCAAACCCTAATTCCCCAATCTGCTTCAGTTCCTCCTACCGTTTTGTACTTCCCACCGCCCCAGAACTCAATTCCCCACGTACCTGCCTTAATTACACCCGGTTTCCCAGTTGCCATCACTCCGCGACATAGTTCTTCAACTATCCACAAGAGCACCTCTCAAGGTATTTAATTCCTACCACTGCAGAACCTGATTCTCCATCCGACTGCTTCTTTGAAATATCTATTTTCTACCACGCCTGAACCCGTCTCTAAACACACCTACTCGAATTCCAGCCTCAACCCCGCTCTGATTTCTAGTTCCAATCAATCCGCGGCCTAAAGCTAGGTGCGCTTACTTCGGCTTCCCTCCAAATATCAAACACTTCCAACTCTGCCTATTTAACCCACTTTCACCCTATTTTATAGCTCCTATCACACGTTGACCACACGAACACCACATGATTTATCTCTCTGCCTCTCCGCCTCATTACTTTCTTGCCTACTCTCCATCACTCTAGGTCCTGATTACCCACGTGTCTACATCTACAAGAGCTCCACAAGTAGCTCATCCAAATCACTCTCGACCGTATTTCACACTTATTCGCCTCTTTCTGTCCAGTAACCTAGATCCCAACATTTCACATCCTACTTTTCTAGCGACAACAGCCCATCTCCAACCAACTAGTTCCTCACACTCCGGGACCTCTTTTCCAGTTATCCAATTTTCATCACTCCAGAACCCAATTCTCCATATATCTATCTCGGCTCTAACTGCCTACACCAGTTGCTTCTACTCTTTCTACTCTTCCATTTGTTATCACTACTGAATCTGAATCTATACCTGTCTACCCCAGTCCCTTCAGGTCTCCCAATTCACACTACACAAGGTCTTGATTTCTTTGCCTATTTGCCGCACTGCCTTCAGATCCTAATTCCTATTGCTCCATAATCCGTATTTCGGCCTACCTTAGTTCCTTTCTGTTGCCCAGGTTTCACCACTGCCAAACCTAATCATCCACCTTTCTGCCTTCAAGATTTCGAGTTTCAAACACCTTAGAACCTTATTATTCATCTATCTACCCGTTTCTCCACAAACATCTATTTCATATCACACCAGAATCGAAACCTCTTCCAATCTACCTCAATTCTTTCCAGTTTACAGCTCGACCTAGAACCTTCACCCCTACATACCCGCCTCAGTCACTCATAGTTATCTAGTTTCCAACACCCTAGAACCTACTACTCCGAAAACCAGCCTCATCCCCCCTCCAAAAGTCTAGTTGCCGTCGAGACACCCTAAGTGCCCGATCAGCTACCCCATTTTCTTCCAGTTTTCCGATCCCCATCACTCTAAAGCCAAATTACCCAACTATGTACCTCAGTCTTAAACCAGGTTTCTAAGTGCTATCGCCCTAGGACCCACTTCTCCACAAAACAGATTCAATTCCTCTCCAAATTCCCACTTCCAGCCTCCAATATCGTAGATCTCTACACATCTGCCTCAGTTTCTTTACAGCTATCTAATTTTCATCACTTTGAGAATTGGGCGTCCAGAACTTTAGCTCAATAACCCATTTCCTCTCGAGCCTCCATTTTTACCTAAGCCTTTGTCGCCAGGCCTCCTCACTCCATCGTCTAGCATTTGCCTGCTCACACGTGTCGGGCGGAAGATGGAGTTGGGAAATAAGGATGAGACGAGTAAATGCCTGGAGGCAGAGATACACAAATATAAATGAATATTTAAGGAAATAACTAAGCAAAAAGTAAATAAATAACATATTAGTGGGCTAGTAGAAAAGCAACAAACTTACCATTTACCGATTCCAAAGCTTTGCAGAAGACATCGTCAAGGTAATATATTCCTGCTAGCTGCGAGTTTTGCAGATGGCCGGCTGTAGGGCTGAAAATGACCTGCGTCTTGTCTTGAGGTGGGTTCTAGAAGACTCGCCTCGCTTTCTATGGCCACCTCGCAATCCCTTACCGCGGCCTGATATGAAGAATGAAGGAATGACTAGTGCACTACAAATGTATCTTATGTATCGATATAGCCGTCATACGGATCCATGATAAGACAAGACGATATGAGGACTAAGGGGTCGGGGCGTGGGCCAGGGAAGGGGGAAATAAATTGAACACCTGTGTCAAAATCTGAAGCGGAGGCTTGTCGGTGGCACTGCCCCTGATTTAAAGGATGGATTAAAAAGACCGCCTACAACCAAAAGGGACCTGAGCACATTATTCCGATGGCATCACTACAATCACCATACTTCCGCCTCAAGAACAGTAGACCCGCTTTCATATGCTGTAAAAATATCGAGCAATCATCAACTCCCCTATCAGTTGTTAAAATGCATTTCAAGAACGAATCGCAGATGATCTTTCAATGGATAGTAATGGCACCACTTCCATCAAAGTCTCTACAACCTCTCTCCATTAGTACTTGAATTGTAACCTTCAAGCGTGAAACACTGAAGAAGAGCTTCATGAGGTGACGCAAAATAATCTCCTGCAAAGAATCAAAGCTCATCCAGACCAATCCTCTACTGACGCAGCGGGTGGCTTGTAAGAGGAATTCGAAGCACAGCAACTAAAGGGCCGAGGTTCTGAATCAGGCTAGCGAAACAACATCCAGTCAAACAGCCGCGAAGCCGAAGATTCAATCATTGTGGAGGTGAACTCAACACAACCCATTAAATGATTTCAAGGTGATCTATTTGCGCATATTCGACGACGAGTAAGCAGTAGTAATGAGGTCAAGTAAACGAATCATTCAGAGAAAAGGACCTGAGTTCTAGTGTAAACCTATCAAGGAAAACGAAAGGCGACACTCAATATGGCAGCTGTAGAAACAGTTTGGTACATGCGCAGCAAAGGCCCATCTGACAGAGCATTCGATCACGACGCACCAGTCATTGCATTTACAATGATGACACCAATTGCAGCTATCTGTTTTGGCCTTCTTGATTCCTGCTCAAAAAGCCGAAAACACAATTAACAATTTCACCACTTGAACATAAACAATCTGCGCAACCCATGAGTTGGTTCGACCTCAGCTATCACAAACCGCTAAGGAATACGTCACATCCATATGATATGACAATCAAGCCGAAAAGACGAGGGGCGCGGAAGCAGTTTCTTGGAGGAACAGCCTTGTTGAAAACGAGGACCAAGACCCTAAATGTAATAAACACTCGCCTATGAAGAGCGAAGTCCCAGTTCCGAAGAGCAGACAACATCCAGTAAATGATCAGCGGGAAAATGACGCAGACACCACTTCTTGCTGACGGAGCATTCGTCCTGAGGTAGTTCAAAGCCACCCGGTAGACCAGTCGTAGAATTTTTGCGCTCAGCAAGTTTAGTCACTTCCTAAGTATCAGAACAGATGACAAACATCACCTTCCCAAAAATAAAACGAATAAAACGGGCCTTCTCAATACGTGAAGGCACCACAAAGGCGATATTAAGAAATGTAAGAACATAGAAAAGAGACAGAAATAAAACTCGACCAAATGATACACCTTAAACACCTTTTGTAAGTTTGTACCTTATATATTGAAGGCCCGGTTCAGCTGGCATGCACAGATAAAATCTGCACTAACCCATCAAAGCGTACATAAATGTACAAGCGATCCATCTTTACCATCCAGAGCGGTAGGAAGCATTGGTCAATAAAAATCCGATGGCCCTCATTTGTCACTGATATGGACAGATCTACATCAAAGCAATCAAGTACGAAGGAGGAGCCGTGACCGCGGCCATCTTGACCATGCGAACGCGCAGTGACCTTGGAAAGCGTTATCAGTATTGTATTTGTAAATGACAACAGAAAAAGGGAAGTAATTTTGAGGTAGTAAGAACAGTGATGGCAGCTAAAACAATATATACACTGCATTTAAGGCATTTAATTTTTATTGCTGCACTTTTACAATGTTCTTATGCAAACTTTCGTGATCGTTTCCCTTTATGCGAATAAATGACTTCGCTTTTATTATTTTTTGATTCACTTGCACTTAGAGCAGTGATTTTGCTCCTGTGTACGCATAGACTATGTTCAAATGCATATCCATTCAAGTGTACTTGCGTGTAGCGCTAATACAGAAGAGTGATACTGCTTAAAATAGCAGCTTACCCAAACGATGCAGTAGCAGTGAAACTTAAAACTATATCCTATATCCCGATAGCAATATAATGGGCAGTTTGTATGATTAAAAGGCTAACGAACATCAGCAATGCAGTGGAATGGAGAGAAACCATACGGTTTCTTGTACAGTGCTCTGCTTCATTCTGCTATGCTGTGCTGCGCTGTTCCAAGCTGTGGGGAAAGACGATGTAGTGTGATGCGACGTGACTTGGCGAAACGTGTTACGAGGAGAGCATTGCGCTTCTCACATTTTCCCTCCATGTGTAAGGGTATGGTTGCATCTTGCATGCAACCAGTTGTAAGATGCAATTCCTCCTGCATTCTCCTTATTGTATCTTAGCTATAGCAAGTATGAAGGCAACCTTGGAAAATGTTTAACATGAGGTCGACTAGAGGGTGGGGTTGGGCAAGATCACGGAATTAATTCGGATGGCGAAATACTGGTAATTCCATTGGTCATACATTAGGAACCACTGCAGAAATTAGGCCTCATAGAACAGATATTATACATTACCTTAGTCCAGAAAGTCTCCTGCACCTCGGTGACCCACAGTCTCAGGTAACTCTTAACTGACCCCGACCACCACACATCCGCTACTCAGCAGCTCCTACCCCAGCCCCTCTCTCACGCCGCTCTTCACAGGGGTAGTTGACACAGATTCTAGAACCCACAAATGATTTTTAAACAAATCCTAACAATTTTAAACTAAAATTCTTTTCCTTTGTATGCCAATAAAGGGAATTTAATGCAGATTTCCGTCAATAATGCATTGCATTGCCTTTTGACGGTATCTAAATATCTCTAAAAGAATAATAGACCTAATTTCGCAAAACCAAGGGAGAAGTCATCAAAACTTGCACCTGTGCAAATACTTTTTGAAATCAGCAGATCAGCGCATTCATTCAGATGATTTTGTTTGATGGCAATCATTAGGCCACCGTCGTGAGCACAACTCAAAGAACACTGAAAAGCTCACCGGAAGTGTAAACTCATAGGCATCTAGTTGCTGATTTCAAAATATTCTTTCTAAAAGAGCTTTTTTGCTCTATTGCAGTTTAGTAACATGTATTTTTTCTACCCAATGCGTTATCGAGACAATACTGCTTTTTGTATTTGGAAGGTTCTCTGCCTTGAGCATCTGACTGTTATGCATCCGGCCAAACTTTCATCCAAAGGATATGTGGGCCTAATCGTGCCTCAAATTTTAAGGCAAAATTAGTTTTAAAACCAAATCTAGGTTGGAGTGCATCGCATCATCATATAACAGTTTGTAGTATTTGCTAGTTTATCTGATTCCTCTCTGAAATTACCTTAACAGCCTAATAACCACTGCAAGACTTCTTTTACCCTCAAACTTTGAGCACTTCAGCTCTAATATGCCCAAAAACAGCATCACTACTGCAAACTCAAAAGAGATAGTCCTTAAGCACGGTCGGCCTACCATCAAAATGGAAGACACCTCCTATTCTTGGATGTGTATCAACCTCGAAGCGGTGACTGTTAATTGACAAGTCGCAGAAAGGAACACATTTATCTTATCTGCATTGTTACATCAAATTTTTACAAAAGCGCTCGTACAGTCGCTAAATCAGGATATGTGATGAGAAATATGCTGCGGTAACAGGAATTCCGACTGGGCGAATCTTACGCGACTGATTATTAGCGAGTACTCCTTAGCGTCAACAAAACTTAGAAACCAATATCCAAAATCAGCAAAAAGCTCTTTAAACAATCTGCAGTGAATCCTGTGCTTTCAGTTTTTTCCGTTATTTCCTGTTTTGCGACAGTCATAAAGACAGCTTGAGACAAATGAGTGGAGTGGGTTGTTAAAATAAGCATCTCAAGACTAAACCATTGTAATTTGCAATTTAGCAACAGCCAAAATAACAAGCAGCATCACCAACCAATTTATGCTGTATGTTAATTGCCCATTCATTGACATCTCTAATTGTGTGAATAAATAATATTGCATCGGATCTAAGTCATTTACTGGTTATTTTTAAGTAAATATTCTAAAGGATATAATTTTTTAATGATGTTATTCTACTAATTTTTAAATTGCCATTTTTTATTTTGTTTCAATTGATTAACTTTAAGCCAATCCTTCAGAACTTGCATACCGTGTGCTTCATGCGGTGGTTTGCGACATTGCTTCCTCCAGAGGCCACTTTGGTTCATTTGTATGTAGTGCCGCAGGCCAGAATGCACTATTTATTCTGCTATAAATGTACTTGAATAGACGAGTTTCTTAACGCTAGACTTTCTGGTAGTTTTGCACAAGTCGTGTTTATTCTTTCCAGCCCTACATTCTTGCGTCTCGATGGGTTTTCGGAGAGAAACGTGATTTAATCGTACCTTGTGAAAGCTTTTCAAAGAGCCCATTTTGACTAATCATGCGAGAAGTGCTTTTGCCGCAGGTTCGGACGGCGATGGTGATGTAACCATTGTTTTGACATTCAGTCCTTATGCAGAAGCGGCAAGCCTTTTTATGTCAAAACGGAAACCATTACAGTTAGCCTTTGGAAAATGGTATTATTCATCTTAGCCGTATGAGTTCCTCATCCATAGAGATGAACTGATTTTGAAAAAGCATTCGAGGAAGACACTTCTGTGCTTTAATACGCCGAGTTATGGGGTGAAATAATCTGAGAAAAAGACCAACATACTTCTTCAACCTTCATGTGAATATTATCACCTCTTCTGGACTTTGTCATTGGACAATCACATGCAAAGTAGAACAGACAGATGGAATTTGGAGGTGAGGTAGAAATGAATGGGGTCTGGACTATGTTTTTTTCTATTTTTAAAGGCAGAATATTTAGTAGGGGTTGAAATCTCTAAATTTTGTCTCATTGGGAAGGGAATGTCGACTAATTGCAGCTATTTTATGAGGTGAAATGCGTTGGGTAGGTTTTGTGTGACACTGCTTAGTTTCTTCTCCTCTTGTTTCTTTTATCCTTTTCACCGATTGCTGATTAGGATTTTTTGTAGGATAAAAGTGCGATTCGGAGACCCAGCTTATCCACGATTAATGCGATTCTTTGAAACCACTAGGCCTCAACCAAATAGTCCTCTTCGGTTAGGAAATACCCGGAAAAGGTCACTGATCCCGTATAGATTAGTTCGAATGTTCTCACTCCGATCTTATGTCTCTCTCGTTTTGATCTCAGAGGATGCAAAATTAAGAAGACCACCTTCTCCTTACGCTGCAGAGGGTGTCCCTTTTCACCGCAATGCAGAAGCGACGGTAGAGTTTGTTGACCTATCCTTTCTTATCTCTCCTCCAGCTACATCATCTGTCCGAATGTCCGTTTGTCTGTCTACCTTCCAGCTACGACGCAGTGAACACAGACGAGGAGCACTCCTCTCCCTCCCCCCTCCAGTACTACCACCATCATCGACGTGGTGACAGTGAAAGGCGCGGATTTTGCTGAGATCCGTGACGTCTCTCTGGCAAGTATTTACCCCATTTTGACGTTGTGTTCGACATCACGTAAATCTTTTCTGTATTTACCCTGGATCTAGATTTTCGACACGTTTTTTTTGCGATTGATTTGCATTTTTTCCAAGTATTTTGCTAAGTCACCGAAGAATGCTACTGGGTGTCGTTTCCACAATGTGAACTGTTCCTTATTCATAATTGTCCCAGTTTTCCATTGAACGAAATGGGGCTGTGGAAAATCGTCAAAATTAATGTTATCTCTTGTGGTTTCCGTGTTTTTCGACAGGTTCGATACTTTAAGGTGTGCATGTGTAAGTTTACTCCGAAGTGAGTCAAAGTTTTGCAATTAGCTCTGCAGCCAGTGTGGAATGTGACTATGCTGAACAGAATCCGTTTTTAAAACAGAGGAGTCATCCTATCATCATTCCTTTTCTCCAACCACTGTTGAGTTGTATTTCTCATTCTCCGCATAATATATTCCAATCCCGCAAAAATAATTAAACTGCCGCGATATGCATTGAATACATAACCAGTCATTGTTGGTAGAACCTTTTAATCAATCTGTTCTTCAGTTTCTCAGTCGCTCACATGGCGGTAGTGGCCATGTTTGTCACCGTGACGATTGCAGATGTAAGAGGATTGAGAGGAGGAAGAGAGAGAAGTTCCGCTAAGGCGCCGTCATCGAAGGAGGAAGGAGTTTACAAAACAGCTGCTCTCTCTCTCTCCGGCACCGACACTACCACCACCACCATTCCTAGGTTTCATACGGAACCGCACAAAACCACCGAGGAGGAGGTGGAGACCCCCCGACAGTGCTTCCTGGCGTGCAAAGCTGCAGGTCCCACTCGAGCCACTGCCGTGCCCCCTTAACGATGGGGACTAGTCGAGTGCCCTCTCCCCCCGCCGGCTTGTATGCTTGTGAATATTTGCAGATAAGAATTTCTCCGCCTGTGTTTGTTTTTCAGTAGCTAGTGGAAAAGAACTGAGCTAAAATGGAACCGTTGGCTGGGTTATAGGAAGCTTGACAGCCTTTCGTCCTCTTTCTCTCATTGCTTGGGTGGCAGCCAGTGCAAAGTGGACATATGAAGAATCGGCCTCTGAGGGTTTGTCGTCTCTCCCGACTTCGAAGTATGTGCTTGCATTGTTCTGGAATTCTTAATGTTCGATTTAAGTGAAAAGCCTCCTCACTATTTTCAGTAGAAGCTAATCAGGTAAAAATTAGGCAAGGCTACACTTTACCTATGATTTGGGAGGCGTTCGTAAGGAACTCCAGGGCCCCACCCGAGGAAGCTTGACTCTCTTGACCCACATACACTCTAATTTTTCTCGCAAGTATCGAAAATGGGCACGCATTTTAGGCGCATTAGACTGTGAGGTGGACCTCAACTACACGTTAAGCAGAGTATGGTGATGGAACGAATGTATTACGTAGGTCGCTTACAGAGTAGTTCACTTTAATAACGTTTACGACGTGATCTGGCTAACTGTAAAACAATCTTAGTTTTGCAATAACTGGTTGGGAAAGCGTTAAGATTTACTACTGATCTGGCCTCGCCATAACCCATGCAAAAGTGGCGTGGACGTCCTTCTAGCTTATCTGGAACTAGTAGAGGTGATGTGAAGCCATTGTAAGCGGACAAGATGAGGGAAGGGACGGCTCACCTCATGCGGAAAGACAACGCGATGGACCTCCATATGAGCGTTTTGAATTCGGTTGAATCGCAGAATCGTGAGCAACTCCCGTGGATCTTCTCGAACATAATGGATGCGCGAATTTCGCTTCAGGACTGAACGGTTATCCATTTAGCGATCTTGGTTGGAGGTGAGCTGTGAAAGGCTATTTGTGCTGGTAGCTGGGGGTTCTATGCACATTCCTGATGGGAAAACTGTCTGGTAGGTGTCTTTCTGTTCTCCCTAGTGGAAGACGAATTGAACCAAGGTAGTAAAGCATTCTTCCAACTCGGTGTTCAGCGCTAATTAGACCTCCGTGCTATCTGAGAATAGGTTTTGTGGGAGGGCACGTAGAATTGGAGGCGTTCTTTGACGTTAGGTGTAGGACCAGAGGTTAGATCTGGCTTTTTAAAGCTCATGTAGCTCTTGAAAGGTGAGGAGTCTGCCGGCATAGTCGCAGGTGTAATGGGTTGAGCGCTTATCTTTGCGTTTCGTCCTTCATTCCACTGGAATGGGTGGACTTGTTAGGTAGGGCAGTCTGTCTTGGTACTATTATGGATGATGTGCAGTGATTAGGTCAACGTCTCTTCGGCGTAAATCTCTCATTTGGAGATAAAAAACGGCCGTTCCATCACAACATTCGTGTTCATCAACCGCCTTCTCCCTGTAATGGTGTATTCATGTAAACACGATTTATGAAAAAACAGATACATAAGTAATTTGTTTCAATAGATTTTTAGCATTATGATAATCTTATAGTAAACGCTATTTTAATGAGGATGGTGATCACAAAGTATGCGGGAAGTCAATGCTCTCCTACGATACCAGGAAAATGTACTGCAGTCATATAACCATCTATGAATGTCCGAAATCGTTTCCGTAGAAAGGCAAATGCTAATTTCTTTCCTCGACAAATTGACAAGGATATAAATTTACAGCAATAATTAATGCGCATTTCTGATTGCATTCGTTCCCTTCAATTTGCTACCATGGTTTAAATGACCGTCACTTCCATCACCGGGTGACACATCGTCACTATTATTCCAATTTAAGGTGTATTAAATGCACAGTTAACACGAAGAATTTTTTTCTGTTTGATATGGCTTTGAATGCCACGACAATTCAACAATCTGTGTCCTTTTGATGGTGCACTGGAGGCTGAGGGGAATGGCTCTTGCACGTAACATCGGAGGCCAATCAGGAGGCGCAAATTTATCCGATATTATGCGCTCAATAAGGCGATTGGCTGAGGGTTAGTGACACGGCTAGTTGCATGATTCGATGGCTAGCCTTCAGTAGCGTTTGCTTATACGTGTAAATACAAGTAACGATGAAACAGATTATAGAAACTCGAAATCTTTAATCGTGTTTGCTTCTGAAATTCAAAGAGAAAGCACTAAAAGCGCTAGGACTTCCAATAAAAATGGAACTAAGGATTTGCCGGGATTTAGGGAAGTGGAATTACGTTATCCATTTAAAAACCCTTTTTTAATGGGACACTGACCCTGAAATTAATGCTAACTTATGTAATTCAAATGTCCTTTTGGTTAGCGCGAGGTTATTTAAAGGCAGGTGTCAGTAGACTTTTTCGAGTGTATTGTTGCCACCATTGAACACTATTGCATAACCCAGCTTGTAAGAGAAGACCGGCGTCCCTGTTTGCAACGTTTCGATGTTTGATCTCATTGCAGATTTAAACCTGAGCAGTCCTTAATGTGCTGCACGTCAGTGATCATACCAGCCCAACTTTGAGCCGTGCATATCTATAAATCTGCATTGGAGATTGTCACAACTGACGAAACTTAAAAATAGAGACAGACGCGATCGGATAAGCCACAGCCATTGAAAAAAGATGGTAACATGAGCCTACTCAATCACATAGCAAAGCATTTGCTTAGCCTGGCAGCTCTCTGCCAAAGCATATCCCAACGCTGATAGTTGATAAAACTCAGGTGTTGGAAACGATGTGACGCAAATAGCACCATCACACAATTACCGATTATATGCTATGTAGTTAGGGCTATGTTCAAATACACTGTGCCATGGATGATTGCAACAAGGGATGATCCTTCCATTTATTACACTTCGATGGGCAGCACTTAATTTCGCGTTTATATAAGTGTCCTAGCGCGTAGACATGGACGCTACTCACAGAATGATTGAAGACAGCCAACGAAGAAGAGGTGCATGTGGAAGGTCAAAGATAAGGCCCCGGCTCAATGCTTCTCAATAATTACTTGCACAGTGCAGACTCCGCCGTATGAAACTGTTAGAGACCACGATAGGAATATTTGTGTAAAATGCCAAAAGTATCGGAATCCTCCATACGCTGGTCTGATTTCGTTCATTAACATTGCTTTGATTTGAATACAAAAATATAAATTTGAAAAGTTATTTATCCTCACTAAATTGCCTACATGATTTTAGAATGTTTCTCTTTGTTTGTGCCTTCAATCTGGCCCAAAGCACTATTTTAAGTTTGTCGTTAAGACGTCATGCCGTTCGGCTGTCAAGTAATCTCAAATGATCACGCGGCTTGTACAGCCCATCATTTGCATCCTATGCCCTTACAAAGCACGCAGTCATCTGCGATGTGACTAAACATCACCTATTACCTTTTTGCTTGTCTGACAGGACAACGTGTCAAATTATGCTACAGCATTATCCTAATAACAAGAACTCCCTCTTTATACTCACATTAGGTTGTCGCAGTGTCTAGTGTTTCATGGGACAAGAAAATGATTTGCGCACACTGTGAAAGTTGTAAAATAAATTTGTAAACGAAAAAAAGAAACTCATCAGGATAAAATAGCATTCTGTATAAGGCAAACAATGTGTTTTCGACGATGCATGACAAATAGTGCGCCAAAGACAACTCCGTTGGAGCTTTTCAACGGTTGGCACTGTGTCCAATTTGTTCGAAGATATACAAGTCTGTACTGATTACATAATCTTGGGAGGAAGAAATCATAAACAATACACAACAAACAACCTCAATGTGACCGGCAGAAAAGGGTGGAACTAAAGGTGGACCTTCTAGCTGCATATTAATTTGCATGCAATTAAAGCGATCTTAATGTTGCTCATTGTGACTGGTTGAGAAATCCGATGTACATAACAGGAAGATCTTTCATTGTGGCCTAAATAATACCGATTTGGCCACTAATTAAATCTTCAAGTCAAAATCGGTGAAAATTTTAGGTGGATTTATAGCTTTAATAATTTGTCATCATGTTCCGCAAAATCGTTATTATTATTTGTATTACCGTGTAATCATGTTGTTTGGCGCACCAGAATGAGAGGTCAAGCATCACTGCCAGAGGGATGCAGGATGTTGTGGGTTTTCCTCAGGCTAGTGAGTTGGCCATGCATGCGGTCTCGAGAGGCATCAAAGCCATGCCTAAATACATCGGCTCCATATAGATACAAGGAGGGAGGATGATAATGGTGGAGTGCCAGTGGTTACGGCCATGGTAATATTGGTGTTGATGGAAGTGGTAGCAGTGAGAGTGACTGTAATATTGGATGGATTGGAGTTGTCGTTGCTGCCACTGCTATGTCTGCATTTAGGGCCAATACGTGGCAATCCTCTCCATCCTGTTTTGTGAATGAACACATCTATTTGGTCCTATTTAAGGCCACTGTCACAACATTCCTTTGCTCTTTATTGATAGGTAAGAGGTTTCAAGTACTGAAAAGCTAAAAATCGAGCGTTATGAAGGAACGAGGATGCGCCCAAAATAATGAATTGAACAAAAATCCTACCTTGGCATAGCCTTTTTAAATTTCCCTTATGGCGATTTCATCCATATGCCCGAGATGCTTGTTTGATGCAATTCGTTGTTTAGACCCTTCTGCCATCTGTTCTCGGACTCCGCCCAGCATTTGCGTGCTTTCCGCTTGCCTGGGGTTCAAGATGGTTGAACAAATTTTCTCACCTTGTTAATTTATGGAAAATGTATTTATCTTGTGCATGAAAACTCAATTTACTTCCACTATGAGGACTTTCAAAGGACAATGCCTTACCGCGGCTTGAATTGTTTCATATCGCATAGGCAAACAGGCGAGATTTTAGCCTTCTTGTACGCATTTTACAGCATGGATTTAAATCACCCTATTTATCTTTCATCTAAAAGCTGACCTTGTTTCAGTTGGTATCTGTTGAACCTGGTGAAACTGATCGAAGCATTAGGATTATAGGTGCCACAGCCGTGATAGCTTCTCCTAAATTGTTCAGAGAGTTTGGAGGAGGTGCGGTAGCAGAATGCATTACCCGAAACGTTAAGGCGAGTGGGGCTCTGCCGTTTAAATTGCCCACATTGGGGTCACAATGAAGAAGTTCCTCTAATCTTGCCATTGCGGAAGACCGAATGAGACCACATCACGCATTTATAGAGGAGAAGAAAAGAAAAGGTCACAAATGCCATTCATCCTTCTATTTGAATCGCTGGTGAGAAACAAGATATGGCGGGGTTGTTGACTATGACGAAGTAAGTATATCAAGAAGCAATCTGTAGCTATTTTAATTATTTCGCATCTTAGTTTGATTAACTGTTTGAGAGCCCCATTTGTTCGCATCGAGTCATGCTTTCATTATCAAAGCGCTTTCAAAGGGGTGATTAGGGATTGTTCTTGTAAAAAAACCAAAAAATTGATACTCACTCCATTTCACAGATGCAACACTTTTGTGCTTATGCTTCGGACGTTTCTTGACACGGTCCTGTCACGCTAATATGTGGGCTTTTATGGACAAGTCCCAGCGCAGATGATTTAGCCCACTGATCTCGTCCCTCATCCGGAGGTCGGACAACAGAATATTCGCATAGACGCACCATGTAATAGGAATTGGTAGGTCATGGGATTTCTCTACACCTCTCAATATGTCTGTTGACTATAACGAGGTGGATGGTCATGAATGAAAGAATACAAGTGTTGTTCAAGTGAATAAGGACTTAAAATGAAGCAAAGTGACAGATTAACCCCTGCTGAAGGCTCACCAAATGAGTTGCAGTGTGGTGTGCCAAATACTTGTGTGGGTGGGTGGGTCTGACCTCAAAATGCAGTACTACGAGAGAAGTACATGGACACGAGAAGCATCGCCAGACAGGAATGCTAAACAATGTTCCACAACAAATGCATTGAATATGTTGTTCGTCTTCCCTTAGAGAAGTATACCCGCCCACCAAACATGACTAATAAATTGGTGTGATGAGGAAAGTAGTTTGTGACAACCGGTTGTGCCAACATTCTGATTCAATCTACTCCCTGGCCCGCCATTTAAATGCTCTTGAAGCATGTGATGGAGTTGACCTCTTTATTGGTAGCAAGTGCGTGAGACACAAAGAAGTGTAAGGAAAATATCTCTGTATTTTGCCCCCATCTCCTCACTTCAAGCCAGTCATGTATGCAAAGTGGTTGTGGACGAGACGGTTATTCTTCAAAATTCGATCTACTTATATCGCCACGTGGCTGTGTGCAGTCCTTATCATTCACAACCAATTCAGCTGCATGTATTTCGTCTCTGAAACATCAGCGGAAATTGTAGCATTCTTGGCAGAAGCAGAAGTTCATGGCGTGGCCTCTTGTCACCGATTGACCCGCGTTGATACCAACAAAAAACAGTGTGACGTGGCTTTAGTAGAAATTGGAAAGCTGTGAATACGCAGTACGGTTGATATGTGTCTACACGCTTCACCTCGAGCGGGGTGTAATTTGAAAGACTATTAAACCTTACATGAAAAGTGCCCCTCGAAGGTCACTTTGGTTAACAGCTCAATTGACTGAAGTGGCATATTCCTCTTATACCATGTAATATTTCAAGTACATAGTCGCATTAGAGCTTTGCTTCAGCACTGACAACTTCTAGTTGCTCTAGTATTTTGCCATCCATTTCTAATGTTAGCTCAGGTATCACTTTCGTGGGTACTATCATGGATGTAGATTCATCACACTATTAACAAAGTATAAGTATATTTATTGGTGTTCGCTCAGTACCTACTTAATAAAATGACATGATAAATACTTACTTGAGATCAAGGGATTCACCAGCACCTTAGTTTTTGCCCACTTTTCTGTGTGCGTCTCTGAGACGCCAATGTTCTTAGCAGAATTTTGTCCTCTTTTTCCTGTAAAATCATGTTCTTTTCTTTCGGAACATCATAATTGAAAAGCAGAGGATTATATGCTAATATAAGATTTAATTGGAGTTTCTTTTTTTCGTAGAGTGTAATTTTGATGCAATTTGCGCTCTTTATACTTTGATGGAAAGTTTGTCTATATTCAGCTTTTCTTTTTGTGGACGCCTTAGATGGTGTGGGAACCCTGATTTGGTATTTTCTGTTATCAGCCACTTGCCTCCTACGTAGGAAGCAAGCCCTTGCTAGCATCTACACCAATTTGAATGTAGATGATCTATTTAGAAGTGTAGAGGTGATATGTATGTTTCTCCAAATATTTTTCTTTGTCCTGATAAAAGGAATACATTTACAGTGGCGTTGAACGGAGACCTTCTAAGTGATTTGCAAGAA